TACCACCTCTCTGGAGATTTTACAGTATTCTTCCCCTGCCACTCCCACCAAGCCATGCCCACAGAACTGGTAGTAAAAAAATTCGAATCCCACCACTGCATCTACCTATCTATCAAAGGAACTCTGGGCAGCTGGGCTAAGAGACAGTGACTGGCCAAAGTCACCCAGCTGGCTTTCATGGGTAAGGAAGGACTTGAATTCATAGTGTCCTGCTTTATAGCCTGATGCATTAACAACTAGACCAAGCTGGCTCTAGTTTAGTGGTGGAAGATTCAAGGGTGGGTCTCAGACAGATCAACTCCTTGTCCTGTAGATGCAAAAGAAGCTCTTAGGATAACAGACATCAATGTAACCACTGGAATCCAGCCATATTTACACTATGTTGGCCTTGGGTTTCATCCTACATCTCTTTTCCAACTCCTATGTGATTACAGACTTTCTGCCACCCATTTCTTGGCCTTAGATGTTGAAAACACTTGCAAAGTATGGATACTGGTTTATCTCAGACTCCTTTATTTCTGCTTTTGCCAGCTTCAGCTCTCACTGGATTCAGCATAGCAAATAAAATCAATTAAGCCTCTACCATTTTGGCTTCTTAGGATTAAATCTGACAGCTAGTTTAAGATCTCCAAAATCCTTATTATTTTTTTTCCAAAAAGCTGAAATATTATCATTTTTATTGCTGAAAATAGCAAGCCAAATGAGTGATAAGCAGGAGCCAATAAAGATTCCTAAAAAGCAGCCAGGGTCTAACACTGACAAAATATGATTTTTCTCTTCTGTGATACAGGACAACTATATATAGTACATTCTACAGATTTGTTTCTCTAAGTGTTTCTGTCACAGCTACAGTAGATTGTGTGGAAAACACTATTAACAGGACTAAAAAAAAATCAGCATTTGACATAAAATTTAAAAAGGCCCAATCTTCATATCTTTTGAGTCAGAATCTCTTAAACATAATCATGTTAACATTGGTAGCTAATTTAATTGGTAGTATAATTTAATTTATACTAATCTTAGGAAATAAAGTAATGACTTCTCTGTAAATAATGTGTATAAACTAGACAAGCGTGGAACTGCTTTCATATAATAAACGCTGTGTTATTTATGTTATTGCTTATTTGTCAAATTAATAAGGCTGTTGGATTCCACAGAGTCTAGGGTGACACATAATACCAAAACAGCACAAACATTGAAACAGTGAGGAACAAACAGTGATGTCTGGACAGTGCAATAAAACATGCAATCTAACATGCATATCCCCTTAAGAGGCCAGCCATCTACCTTAGCTCAAGCCCTGTGGAAAAAGCCATGTATTTAAGGTTTGATGGAACAAGAACTGAGTAGAAACCATAGTCTCTGTGGAGATCCCGTTGCAGAGACAGATACTGCAACAAAGAAGGTCCGGTTTTTGCCAACTCTACTTGTATGATGGGCTGAAAATAGCAGGGACAAATGGTCATTTAGGGCCAAAGATGACAATTTTCCAGGACCTTGTGAATCAAATATTCACAATCACTTGATCCTGCTGGGGTTGATCTTGAATCAGGAACAGAACTTTGAGAATATTATTTGGTTAGTCCAGGATCAAACTGATAATCCTCAATCTAGTAGCCTCACACAGATGGATTTATTATGTATCAGCCTGATGTTCAATAGCAGCAACTGTGGCCAACAGGTACGTAGAATCTGATGATCTAGGGTTGGATATAGAGAGTCCTTGTCTACAATTCATTTAGTGACCATCCAAAGATACAATATCATTGAAAAATGATGACGTAAGATCATTTTTCACGCTTACGACTGTTGCAGTAGCTCCATGGTCACCTGATCAAAATTCAGGAAACTGACTCACATTTATGACAGTTGCAGTGCCCCGGGATTTTGCAACATTTTGACAAGAAAAGTCAATGGGGAAACCAGAGTCACTTAATAACTGTGTCACTAACGTAACAACTACTGTGATTCACTTAACAACTGTGGCAAGAAAGGGTTGTAAAATGGGGCAAAACTCACTTAATCAATGTCTCATTTGGCAACACAAATTTTGGACTCAGTTGTGGTGGTAAGTTGAGGATTACCTGTAGTAAAAGTTAGAAGTGGGAAGAGTTTGCAACTATCTTGCCCCACCAGTATCATATACAGCCTGCTGTTAGATTCCCAGCATACCTTCCTCTGCCCCTCAGGACTTTAGTGATAAAAGTATAATAATCCATATGATAAAAGATAATGTCAATAAAACACATAAGTAGACAGTTGATATATTACATGTAATTTTTGATTTCCTCAACAAGCCAATCTTGTTATGGAATAGTTATGGTTAACCTCATGTTTATTACTCTAATTAGAAAAATAGTGTACCAGTTATCTGTATTCAACACCTTAGTAATCAATTAATATTTATAGTCTTTGTCTGAATATCAACGTTTATTTTCTAAACTCACATAAGAAAACTGCTTCTCTACAATCTAATTTAAGGAATTTCCAGTGTCAAGGTCTTTTTAATTGCAAGTTCTTTTTCCCCAGCAACTCAGTGCTACCGAATTTGATTTTATCAGATTTTTTAAAAATTACTGTTTTACAAACAAGAGCACCACTGATATTATTTTAGAGGTTATTTACAAATTAGTCAACTCTTTTGATCAGTGCTTGTGGCTAGCTATTCAATAAAGGTCAGATATACCGTATATACTCGAGTATAAGTCGACCCGAATATAAGCCGAGGCACCTAATTTTACCACAAAAAAAACTGGGAAAACTTATTGACTCGAGTATAAGCCGAGGGTGGGAAATGCAGCAGCTACTGGTAAATTTCAAAAATAAAAATAATTAATTTGGGAAACGATCTCACTATCATGAAAGGTTTAATTGATTCACTAACCCAAAAGAAGAAGAAGATGATGACAGCGGGAGGCAGGAGTCCATGAAGTGGGGCTTGCCTGCCCTTGCTGGCTGCCTCTGCTTCCTTAGGGGTGGGGAAGGGGGCTCATCTGGACCAAGGGTGAGTCTCCCCCTCAGTTTCCCCTGAAGGATCTTCCGTCGCTTTTGCCTTCTCCCTACATCTTCCCTCTGTTAAAATCCCCCCCACACACACACTTATTTTCGGGCGGATAGATTTCGTGTCTGAGCATTCTCACATGACGGTGGGTCTTCCCCCCCCTAAAAACAGTTAAAAAAAGAAAAAATATGTCCTCATGCAAGAACTTTTCTGCTTCCGATTACCCCCATGCTTAAAAGTTGCAAAGGAAACGCGGAAGCAGGGAAGCGCCTGCCCAGCTCCGGAGCTCCACACCATTTTTTTTCAGAGGGGAATCTGACTCGAATATAAGCCGAGGGGTTTTTTTTCAGCACAAAAAATGGGCTGACAAACTCGGCTTATACTCGAGTATATACGGTAATTTTGAAGAAGAAACAAATATCTGGAGATGGAAAGGGACCAATTATTTAACTGTTGTTAATGTTACTTTTAATATTTTAATATTTCTGCTTTAATGCTAATTGTAAGCTGCCCACTCAGGATACTAAGATGGGTGGCACATACATTTGATGAATAAATATATACTTAAAAAAAAAGACTTCCATCAAGTTGAGGTGAGGCACACTACCTCTTTGGAATCTCCACTCTTATGTGATTCTAGATCCACATATTCCTTTTAGCCACAACCGATTGTGGGAAAAATCCCCACCATCATTACTAATGAGATTCTAAGATATCCCTTTGCAATCATCTTCCCATTCAGTGCTATTCTACATGTTTGTAGTCATTCAACAATTCAGTTTGGCCAACCAGCTGGGATGATGGATCTAGGTTATAGGAAATGCATTCATTGTGAACAATACACTAATAGACATCATAATCTACATCAACATTCCCTACAAACATTCAGCTTTCATTTTAAAAGGGGTTAACGTATGACTGCCCTTTTTGTGTGAGAGGGAAACAGATGTCAGGAACTAATTACTTTACTCTTGCCATAAGCATCCTTTTGCTCTAGAACGGTTGTTTATTCCTGTCATGCAAGTTCTCACTTCCTTTTCATTTTTTTGTGACATCACTTTTTAATGAGCTGCATGACTCCAAAGTTGAGGTAACGTGTATTTATATCCACTGATGAATGAACATCAGCTTAAAACAGGTGGAGAGCTCTTATGTATGAAGTATGTATTATGTGTGGGAGGGAGGGTGGGAGACTTCAAAGTCAAAAGTAAGAGTAAAGGCTTAAGAGGTTTTTTTAAAAAATATACTGTATATGTCTGTGAAAAATAATGCATACTTTTTCCTCTATAAATCAACATAAAAGTTAGTAGAGAAAACATGGTATATAATATCTGTAAATTAAAGCATATTAACATGACTAAAATGTCTCTGTAAGATGCACATCAGACACAATTCTGGACAAAATTACAATAGTAATATTAATAGCAGTAATCATTATCTCAGCAATTTAAAATTATTATACATGAAGCCCTTTGAATATGTAACATGGATATATCAAAAATATTCCCAAGCTGTGACATGGTCTTAACTAGGTTGTTAGATCTGGCCTGCAAAGATTTGTGCACTTACTAGAGTAAAGTAAATAATTTCATAATAACAATACTTCCTATATCTCAGTAGAAATTATAACTCTTTTCTGCCATCCAATGATCATCTGGATTTTTGCCAGGCAGGATCTAATAGCCCTAATTTTACCTCAATAGCAAAAGGTAAAAGTGTAATATGTTGAAATCAACAATTATATTAATTGAATATAGTTGAAGATTTTCCATTATCAAAAATAAAAGTTACTTAAAGATAGGAAAACTGTTTCAAGCACATAGTATTTCAAAAACTATAAAAACTATTTTAGGCAAATACAAAGAAATAAGTACTTTCATTGTACTCTTTCTACTTTATTTGTGGTACAGTAATTTCAACCAATCAAAATCCCCCCAAATCTCATGGCTTTCAACTGGACAAGGTTTGACTTCATGTGAACCTAATGAGATCCCCAAAGGGACACAATGTTGGATGGATAATTGTCCAATTTAATATTGGAATAGATATTATGTACACGCACATTCTTTGGTCTTGTTTTAAATATCAAGTATGCCCTAAAAATGGAGCTTTAAGTGTGTTTTTCTTCCTGTGCTATTTGTGGTCTTAAATTATCTTTTCTTTAACTTAGCAATAAAATCCCAATGCTGATCTAGCAGGATGAAAAGGTCGTAGGAGGAAGTTCAAAAAAGTTGCTTGAGATTTTCTGTTTTGGTTTCATATGTTTTGACTTAACTTAAATACTGAAATAGATATATCTCCTTATTAATCTATTTGCTAATGTTATAATTTCTTTTTTAACAGTCTGAATCCATTAAGATTGATTGAGTGAAAATATAAATATGTCGTTAGTAAAAAATAATTAACCACGAGTCCATTAATCTGGAAGATGTAGAGGTAAGGAAAGAGAATGAAAAGAGCAAGAAAAACCTAGACAACAAAAAATGGGGTAAAACATTGTATTCGGAATGTATAGCAAGCTATCTTGAGATTCCTGTATGAGACAGTTTAAATTTTAAATTAAATTCCAAATACCTCAAATCAATATACAACAGGAAAAATGATTGCTATAAAGCTTGCAAGGATTTCTTTGCAAATTTTTCTTTTGAAGAAGATTTCTAAGGCGATCAGAGCAAAAGAAGGTCTAATTTAGTCCGTCTGAACAATTTGCAGAATAAATGAACCTTGACTGGCAAACCTCAGGCTTATATTTTAACTGTCAAAATCCTGGTTCAAAGACCACCAATAAAGGGACATGAAAGGGAAATAAGCAATTGCTTTGCTGTGGCAAAGGAATGCGACGCTGCTGAGAGAAGGAAGCAACTAAAAATAAAGAGTGAGCCGAGATTACAACTATTGCTTTTCTATTTCTCTTTTCTTTTGCATCTTTACTTGGAAATAAATCATTCAGTGTATAGGAGAGCGGTCTATTTTGTTTTAATGGTCTAAAAATCAGATTATAATATTCCACAATCAGAAAACACTGTTGTTATTCAGGCAGTTATAAACAAATGACCAAAGAAGTGGAGCATAAGTATAAATTCAGGTATTGTTAAAAACTTTCATTCAGGCTTATCACTGAGAGATGGAAAGAAAAAGCAACAACGAACAAACAACAACTCTTGGAGAAGAAATTGGTCTGCATACCAGCTGCAAAGACCTATGCTGTAGGATTCTCATAAGCGTCAACCCAGGATTGTGAAATATATTAGACCTTAATTTCAGGAAACCCTGACAACTAGTCAAGCCATATTGTTCTATCTTTTTTCACTAGGCTCATGCTTCCTCCTCTGAAGCCAGAAATTTTTGCAAAAATATTTTTCTACCTGCCCATCAAATAGACCAAAGAGCAGGAAATTATAAGTGCTAAGAGACTGCAAAGCTTTTATTTTATTGTTTAACATTATCTTAAGCCTAACTACCTAAATAATTATTTTTTCTCCCACTTTACTTTCATTGTATGTTTATTGTTGTACAATATCTGAAGGAACAACTTTGGATACTTATATTTCATTCAATATTTCACTATGATGCTCTAATTAGGCCTGAGATCTTTTCATATTCCTTTTCCCTATGTTTTAACAGATTGTCTGAATGGGGTGTGTAATTATAAGATTATCACAAAACTGAGTCTCACTTATTTTGGCCAAGTCATGAAGGGGAATTCACTGGAGAAAGCAATTATATTTGGAAGAGTTAGTGGTAAAAGGAAATGAAGCCACTGAAGAACAGAGTGACCGGACATCATTCAAGCTAGCACTAGCCAGAGCATAGAACAACTCAAAGAAGTAGTGCAAGATTGGAAGATGTGGAGAGACCTGGACCACAAAATCACTGAGTCATACACAACTGAATGGATAACATCATCAATACTCCAAGGAAAGAAAATGAATTGCTTGCAATGCATCTGGAAAAATGTACTTCTCATCTTATTTCCTTATTCAGTTGATATGGCTCCCCACTCACCATAGACCTCCTAAGGGCCTCTACAATGATGGTGACTGGCTTCAAAATGGCAGGGGCACACACTTAAAAAGGAATAGAAATTTGCTTACTTGATTACACTTGCCTCTTAAAGCTAGTGACTATCACTGCAGATGCCAACATAAGCTTCAAACTATAAGTAACACACACTGTGCAAGAAGCAACTCATATACTACACAGTAAAATCAGGTCACATACCAGGCTGGCCTAGTGCTGGGGGGAAGAGCCAGTTTTTCATGGCTTTTCCGAATTTTGTAAGACAGGCATGTTGAGTAAATACTTGTCTTCTTCCGAAAAAGGAATAAATTCTAATCTGTACTTTAAATACAAAATGGGCTATCTTAAATTGGTCCCTGGGGAGAAGATTTCATCTTTTAGTACACAGAATAGACTGTCTGTAGGTCCTGGCTCTTTCCTGTGGCAGGGGTGTCTGACTAAAATAACAGGGAAATGATATTGACAGACTAGTCCTCTGATGTAAGATGTTACTTCTGCTGCTACCAATGTTATGTGCTAGCTTATTTTAAAATTAGCAATGAAATTCCAGACTTTAGAGAGAGAAAAAACTATTTTGTTTCAACACCTTACAATCAGTGGCCTTTCAGTAGATTCTTTCCATGCAGTGGATTTAAATGTTTTATTCAGAATGTCTGTGCGGCTTGTAATTGCTCTTATTTCTGGGGATCAGTTTATCTTTTAAATAAGGATAGCTTTAATCAAGCCCCAATATTTTAATTACCACTTTGTAATGTGAGGATGGTGGCAGTTCATTTAGTGACCATTTGAAGTTACAACGGCACTGGAAAAAGTGACCTATTACTGTTTTTCACATGTATGTCCATTGCAGCATCCCCATAGTCACATGATCAAAATTGATATGCTTGGCAAGTGGTTCATATTTGTGATGGTTGCAGTGGCTTGGGGGTCATGTGATCAGGTTTGGTGATCTTCAGAGAAGCAAAGTCAATGGGCAATCCAGATTCATTTAGCAACCATGTTACCAACTCAACAACTGCAGTGCTTCACTTAACAATTGTGGCAAGAAAAGTCATAAAATGGGGCAAACTCACTTAACAAATGTTTCACTTAGCAACATAAATTTTGGGCTCAATTGTGATCGTAACTCAGAGACTACCTGTACTTGGTGCTCTCTGAACTTAGTTGTTTTTTTGCAGACATTTCATTACCAAAATAGATAGCATCTTCAGCGCTACCTAGCTACAATGCTAGCACTGAAGATTTTACTTAGTTGTGTAGCGAAACATCTGCAAGAAAAAAGCCAGTGCTAGCGCTGAAGGAACGTCTGCAAGAAAACAATCAAAATCAGAAAGCACCAAGGACTCCACAGTTCAACCCTGAACAACAAATCTTCTCTTCGAATCAGTTTCTAGGCAGTATTCTTCCATAAGCATTCATAGATAAATGTTGTTCTTGCATTTGTCCATCTGCATCCCAATTCATGGGATCTGAACACAATCATAAGAAAGATAAAAACCAGAATCCTGTATCTACTTCAGATATTCTACAAAGAGTATACTCTATTTGAATGTCCAAAATACTAGCCATTCATACCTCTCAGTCTCATGAACTGAGGGAAACAAGAAAAGTGGTAACCTCTTTATTAGGTTAGGTCTGCTTCAAAAAGAATTTGGATGAAGTGCAGCAGTAATTCTCCTGTTCCTCAAAAGTTGCATTAACTTTAATGAGTTGATTCCTTCAAATAGGAGTAACTTCAGCTCTAAAATGTCCTATTATTTTAATAAAGAGTGGAGAAGTGCTGTGCTGTGCTGTGCTTGTGTGAGGTCCAAGTCTCTTCTTTTCAAAATCTTTGAAAAATGTGCAAAGCCCTAGTATTTTTATAAAGATAAATTCTAAATGCTGGAAGATACCATCAGCATTCCTGAAAACAGCTATTCATTTATTGTATGAGCTTTCAGAGATAAGATATATTTTTAAAAGGGGCAAGTGATAGCTATATATGCACACAGTATAGTATTTCTGTAGATGAGTAAGAAAACTTCCATACAAATAAAGGTTATTTTATTTAATTCATTAAGATACATAATGAACATTTCTTAGATGATGATTTCTGTTGATGAGGTTTCTTCACAGAGAAATAAGAGCAGGGGCTGTTTATGTAGGTTTTCATTGCTTTTCAAAAAGCTAAGAGAGCAGAGGACTGCCAGACCTCAGGGGGAAGGTGTTTCACAATGAAACTATGCATAATGATATTAAAAAAACAACTACTTTATGGACAGAAGCCCTTCCTCAATTTTATCCATGGTTAAAAAAACAAAAAACCAATGTTAGAAACTGCGATAAATGGCAAAAACCATTATTTTATATTTTTAGGAGCAGTGTCTTTATAGCAACCGATGGATAACAAGGACTATTTGTACTTTTGCTGTAATAATAAGTAATCAAGCTTATTTTGGATGCCAAGCAAAACACCAGGGTCAATTATTTAGCGATTATGCAAACACTGCAGAAATTAAACTTATTTCCATGATACAAGGATCATTATGTGGGTTTATCAGTGGCATACTGACTCATAATAATTTGGGAGATGCAATCATGAGACTTCCTAGCAGTGTGGGCGAAGAAGTACATTTTAGATCTTGGAGACTGTAGCAAAGAATTCATCTTCTGATCGTACCAGTTTCGCCACATCAGGTCCTGTGGTTAAACTGTACTCTAGGGTTATGTGGGAGATTTCAACTATTCTCCTTCCTTCAATCATTCAACAATGACACCAGTGAGAAAGAAACTATTCTGGAGGCCAAGGTCCAATTAGTGTAACAAATTCAGAGAGTATAGTTATTAGCAGAAAAGTCAATATAGTTGGCGAACTATATGCTTAAGTAGAGCTTAATGTAGTATGTTGTCTAAACTAGCATTATTCTTTTCTGAAACATTTTTGCTTGCTGTGAGAGAAAAAGAGAGACAGAGAGAATATGCAAAGTACAGAAAAGGTGTCCAGAATATTTAACTGAATAAATTAAATAGGAAAAAAAAGTAATATAGTCAAACCTAGGTCAGGTGAGCACCATTCAGTATACCTCGCCATACCTTTCTACCTTGGAAATCATTCTTGCTTCCATCACATTCATACTTTGCCTCTTTGTTCTTTAAACCAGGGGTCCCCAACCACCGGTCCGGGGACCGGTACCGGTCCGCGGAACAAGTCCTACCGGGCCGCTGGTTGCTGGGCGCCGCCATCTTTTTTTGATGAAAAAGTGCTTCCGGTGAGCTTTTCCGGGTAGAAAGCTCACCGGAAGCACTTTTTCATCAAAAAAAGATGGCGGCGCCAGCGCTTCC